CGATACCGTAATTAACCAACTCTTTAAGTGTGAACGCAACAAACCAAATAATTACGGTACCGCCCCTAGTGTGAACACTCGCAGTATATAAGCAGCCTCGTCCTGCTTGAATTGGTTCAAGCGGTACCGCCCCTAGTGTGAACACTCGCAGTATATAAGCAGCCTCGTCCTGCTTGAATTGGTTCAAGCAGGACGAGGCTGCTTATATACTGCGAGTGTTCACACTAGGGGCGGTACCGTAATTACTTGGTTTGAATGCATAAGCTGAGAAGGAACGTCTCTACCGTCGGAACTCTCTCTCCGCAGCTTATCTCTAAAGTTATATATCTGTCACTGATTAGCGTTAATTATAATGATTATTATAATTTAAAACAAAAAATTTATTATATTAATAAATAAAAAAGTATATTAATGCGATTAATTTGATAAAAAAATTATTAACTATCACAATAATAATACATTAGTAAATATAATAAAATTTATTAATTATTACAATAATTTTTACATATAAAAAATTACTAATTATCATAATTAACTTAAAAAAGTTGATTAAAACATATATTACAAGATATAAATATATATACCTGCCGCACATGAACGTTGTCTCCCGGATTCTTTTCCTTCAGCCCGGCCATAATTTTTTTCGGGGCCACCTGAGCGTCCGTCATGTCACGAACAATTTTCTTAGATGAAGCGCTGATGCCGCTCAACTGGCTTTGACCCTCAGGATACACAACAAATGCATGGTTATGGTAGCCTTTCTCTTCATTGCTACATCTACAGATCCTCCAGTATGGAGCGCCGGACACCTTTTTTACTTTGATCTCAAAATTGCAGCCGCACTTATTCGTTTTTGTCCTTCTAGAATTTCCGCCTGTGCCTCTGTACCGTTCGCCTCTATGGCACTTCAAAAGTCTGACCGTTTTCTTTTTTGTGGCTCGAAATTATTAATAGGAAATCATTCAGCATTGCCTGGTGTTTTGCAGCTTCAATAGCCTCCTGAGCACTATTATATAATGTACATGTATCGAAACGCAGACTGTAATCAACACCATATCCTCCAAAATCTTCTCATGACTCCTGCTATATAGTACAATATTTATATTTTTAGAACATGTTAATTAAGATAATTAATTCTACCATGTAACATAATAATTTGTAACTCGTAACATGATATTATCTAACGTTCAATTTATATAATTTGTAACTCCTAACACGATCACGATAATATCTAACGTCCAATTTATATTATAATAAACATGTAACACAATAATTTGTAACTCTTAACACGATACTATCTAACGTCAATTTATAACATAACTAAAACTAATATGTAATATAATAATTTCTAACTCGTAACACGATAATATCTAACGTCCAATTTATATTATAATCAACATGTAACATAATAATTTGTAACTCCTAACACGATAAACGTCTAATTTATAGCATAATCAAGTCTAAAATGTAACATAATAATTTATAACATAATAATATAGTCCAATTTATAACATAACTATTTCGAATAAATACATAATAATTTAAAAAAAAAAAAAAGATTACTTCCGGCCGGCCGAACCGGACGGACCGGTTCCGACCGGCCGTCGTTTTCGGACGGCTTTTTAGTCGTCCGGCCGGCTGGTTCGGACATGGCCGGTCCGACCGGCCGTACTTTTCGGACAGCTTTTAGCTCGTCCGGACCGGCCGGCCGGACGGCTTCAAAACTGTCCGGTTCCGGCGGCCGGACGGGCTAAAAGCCGTCCGGTTCCGGCGGCTGGACACCAAATTTTTCGTACCTCCGAATTTGACGACATTTCACCGTACACTTTCCTATGAGATGCTTAGAAAAAATGAAAAGGGCAAAATTGTCCAAGGGGGCGGTGACTAGTAAAATGAGGGGCAGTGAATAGTAACACCCTAATTTTTTGGATTCAATAATGATAATAATAATAATAAATAAATAAAAAAAACTAAGGGCAAACAAGACAGCATGTACACTCCATGATTATTACACAAGTTTTCATATCTGGCAAACATTGATTGGCTGTACATCGACTTTCCACGTAAATAATGAAATCCAGTCACTATCTTCCAGAGTCTTCTCTTGACTTTGGACTCTTTGGGGGTCAATTCATAAATAACTAAAACTCTAAGTACTCGATTACAATTTTCGCATCCGTTACACGTAACAACAACAAAAAACACGTCCTTGATCCCAAATTTTCCACCATTGTTAAGACCTTGAGCTCATCCCCCTCCCTCTAGCTCCTGTGATTTTATTTTTATTTTTTTAAGTTAAAAGTCTTTTTAGAAAAAAGAATAAGCGATAACGACGATGGCGTACGAAGGAGGTGCTGATTTCGATGGCGTGGTAATTTGTTTCTCTCTCTTTTGGATCTGATTTCAATTTTAGCTCNGTTGCATGTTGATTTTTCTTAAGGGTTTTCTGAAATTTTGAAAAAATGCTCGCCCTTGAAATTTATGTAAAAAAAAAAAATGGATTTTTGATCGTTTTATTTTGGTTTGGGAGTTAGATGGGTTTTGAGACCATAGATTTTGTCGTGATTGAGGCTTTGGTTTGAAATTTAAACTTCGGAGGGGAAAATGTAAAAAAAAAAAATGTAAAAGGAATAAAAGAAATTTTTTCTGCATTTTGATTATGGATTCAAATTTTAATAATGAGGCAAGTATCTGCCCGGAGAAGGATAAGAACTTTGCTGTTTCTGCACATGATGGAAATAACCTTGACATTTTTATGGGCAAAACTCGATTTTAAATGCAATGTTTAAGCAGATATGTTAATAATGTTAATAATGAACTAGTGAATTATCTATTGAGAGAAGAAAGCCGTGGTGAAATTTGAGGAAATGGTTATAGTAACACTTTTATTATGTCATGACAAATTGAACCCATCGAACCAATGCTATTAGCCTATTACGTTTATGCATATGAAAGTTTTAAGGTGATTGATGACCTGATTTGTGACTTACATCTGGGGTAGCTAATCTTGCTTTCGTGTCTTGTTTCATGTCGAGCAAATCACAATTATATGATAATAAGTGCAACTTTAACTTATCTCTTTTCTAGTTATTCGTGTCATGTTTCAAGTCGTACCCATTGTCATTTGTCTTTATAAATTATAATCATGTTCATTTTTTTCCTTTGTCGTGCAAGCCATGTATGTACATTAAGTGTCCCGGGGCTTTCACATTTATCAATTTTTGTTTTAAAACAAAAAACTTGAATTAATACACCCCAATGTGTTATGATTTCTGAATGATGAGTTTTCAGTAACTAATTTGGTCATGGTATGTTCTTTAGCAAAATGTATCCAAGCTTTATTCATGCCATTTGCAGTATATTTGCGATATTTCTATATATTATTTTGTAGATTTATACTTCTTCCGTTTTGTTGGATGGAATTTCAATGAATTAAATCTATAAGAAACACAAAGTTCTGGCCTTTAAATAAAAAGGAAATCAGTTAGAACTCGGATTTCTGGCCTACTCTAGTTTGATAGTTCGATCGTGGAAATTTCTTTGAATATGAGAGTGTGACTTGTTATTTTAGGAGGAAATTAACGTAATATTCTATATGAACAGAAAAATGCGGCTGGGGATGTGGAGTCCCAAGGGCTTAACCCGGGATTAATCGTCTTGCTTGTCGTTGGTGGACTGACCTTGTTATTCCTTATCGGGAATTACGTGCTGTACGTTTATGCACAAAAGACTCTTCCACCGAAGAAAAAGAAGCCCGTTTCTAAGAAGAAGATGAAGAGAGAAAGGCTGAAGCAGGGTGTATCTGCACCAGGAGAATAGATAGATATAAAAACGAGTGTCCGTGTGTGTTCGTGTGCCGCACATTTTGAAAGCAACCGTGTCCTTTTTTTTTTTCCCCCTTTTTTCTTTCTAGCTGACTAAGAATTGAATTGCAGGATACTTATAGGATATGTTTAAATTCGATGTTATGCTTATAATGTGGGTGTGTTTGAGTTGGGCATCTCTGACTCTTGAGGATCAAAGACATTATGGTCAAGTTTCGAGGCTCCAAAGCTGGGGAATGGATGCAAAAATGTGACATGATTTTTCTTAAAAAAAAACTTTTGGGAATTACAGACTAATTTTTGAAATTTAGAAATTTATCATACAATTTTTTATTTATTTATTTATTTTTTATTTTTTATTTTTATTTTTGGCAATGGCATTATGCTTTTAGTAAATGCAATCCCCGTGAGCTTCTTGTTTCATGTTTGTAATGCTTACAAGTAGTCAGGGAGAGCATTCTTAATTGTAATACAATTTTTTGTGAAAGGACCAACCAGAGTGTAAGACCAGATTAATTATAATTAATTGTTTAACAAAAAGTACATATTTATGTTATAAAATATTGTATTTTTGTTTAAATTATTTGTTATAATATGATTTTTTGTCTGTAAGTATTAATATTTCTGTTCAAGAGTATAATATTTGTTGGAAATGTATCTTTACCTGCAAAAACAAGAAAGTGTGATTATTGATTACTTAGACATGGCTGACTAAAACCTCACCGTAATTGTAATTATAATTATAATCTTTAATATACAATCCAGTTCTTATGCCCTCTTTACGAAGAGTTGAACTTTGTTGAATTGTAGTATAATAAAAGTTTTTTTTTCTCTTATTATTTAAAGGGTAAATAATAATTTGCAACCTGTACTATATGCAAATTTGGGATTTGCAACCTAAAGAATTTTTTGTACTAAATTGCAATCTTTAATACACGATTTTTCTATACCGCAACCTCCGGCCGTCGGAGGTCCATTTTTCACCGGAAAAGCAAGCATGCCACACACACGTACCAAATTTGAGGGCAAAACTGTCATTTTATCTCTCTTCATCCTTTCTCTTTCATCCTCTCTCTCACACTCTCTCCAGACCGCCATAATACCTCTCCTCCTCCTTCCTTTCACGGCGGCTGTACTCCGACGGCGGCCTAATCACTTGAAGTCCCTCATCAACTGTCACAATATGGCCCCCTCATCGTTTTTCTCATAAAGCTTCCTTGCAGTCTCCTCGCCCACCTTGAAAACCTCCGCAATAGTCTCTGTACCGAAACCCCTGAAAACATTCCACAGATGTGGCCGGCCTTGTCCTCTGTGTTGTTCTTGTTGTTGTCCTCTTGTCGGATTTTCGGCCAAAAAAAACGACTGCAAATTCGAGTGATTAGTAAATTAATATATCCCTTTCTTTTTTTATTTTTTTTTTTTTTTTTTTAATTCTGAAAAATTGAAAATCGATCTCGGATTAGTAATTACTCTTAGGTTTTGATCGAACTGGTTAGCACTGTTGCCATTGTCGTGAAAAACGACGAGCACAAGCTCTTCATTTCCATCCTGCGAGGTCAAAAGCGCCACAGTAGATGGGGGCTGCGAGGAAGAAGATGAACAGAGCAAAGAGAAATTTCGAACACATATCTTGAAATTTCAATTGCTCTTCCTCTTCAGATCTGAGGCAATAATTTCGACAAATCCGTCCAGATTGAAGTCGAATTTGACTGCGTGAGACTCCACCGGCAACAAAGTAGGGCTCCTTTTCTCAGGCACTGCGGCGGATGGCGGTTCCCTGCGGTGCCCTTGAATTTGACTATGTGGGTGTGTGTGTGAGAGAGAGAGAGATGAGAAGAGGAAGGATGATGAGAGATGAAATCACATTTTTACCCTCAAACTGGGTACGTGTGTGTGGCATGCTTGCTTTTTCGGTGAAAAATGGACCTCCGACAGCCGGAAGTTGCGATATAGGCAAATCGTGTATTAAAGGTTACAATTTAGTACAAAAAATTCTTTAGGTTGCAAACTCCAAATTCACGTATAATACAGGTTGCAAATTATTATTTACCCTAGTTGGAGGAACTTAGGGAGACATTTCGAAAAGTGACTGCCAATATCTTATTGTATTTGCCATTTTGCAGAAATGTAAAAATTAGGCAACTAAAAATTAAGTACTTATCCATCATTAAAAGAACTTCTCTTTGTATGCTTCAAAGTTCAAACAATACAAAAAAGTACAGGCATCTAGTAAATGACTCAATGTTAAAATTAATCAATTACCACCACGAAACAAAAATTCCAAAAGTATGTATAAAAGCTCACACAACACAGGTTCACCTTATCGAAACCGAAAAGGGGCAAAAAAAAAAAAAAAGAGTATTAGCAATAGTATAGAAACGGTAAGGCTTAAACTGCTCGACCCATAGCTTGTCCGCCAGGCGGGATCATGACGAAGACGGGCTGCTGCGTGGCAAGCCCGGGATGTGGCAACCTACGACGAACCTCACGAGCCTCCTGACAAAGCGCGCACGCGTGGCAAAACACGTGTGTGCAAAAATCACACGATGCCTCACATTGCTCGTGCGGAATCTCATCAATCGCATACTTCCCAAAGCTTCCCTGCCGTGCCAAACAAAATTTTTCCCACTTTTTTTAGATTCTCGAAAAAAGAAAAACTAACTTTAATGCAAATACATGAATAGTTAAGGCATACGAGGTCAAAATTCGAAGAACTTAGGTTGTGTTTGGTAAGCATAAAAGTTAGCTTATAAGCTTTATGTATTTAAATAAGCTTGGTTTGTAGGACGAGCTTTTTTTTAAAAAGCTCGAGCTTATCTCATAAGCTTCTTAGGTAGTTTTTCAACTAAGCCATTGAAAATTTTATTTCAGCTACTTATGGCTTATCAATATAAAAGCTAACTTTTCAGCCATAAGTCATAAGCTATAAGCTATGAGCTATAAGCCCGTTGGAAATTTTATTTCAGCTAGCTTATCAACGAAGCTATCAGCTTATCAGATAAGCTAGATTTTCAAACATAAATCATATGCTATCAGCTATTAGCTCGAAATTTACAGCTAGATTTACCAATTATAGCCATAATGACATCCATAAGCTAACAACAATCGAAACAAAATTGGCTAATGTAAGAGCAGAAGCTAGAGTAAAAGGGAATTGGCCAAGAAATTTACAAAATCGAGACTACTAACCTCTAAGTTGAACTTGTGGCGTATGGCTGTACGATTGGGGTACGAAAACCAAGGTGCAAGGCAATTCCAGCCGAAAAGGCAATTGCCGAGCAAGTAAAGGCCAGTGTAAGGCAAGCAGTGATTGGCGAAAGTACCGGGTCCCGATCCAAGTCTCTCGACATTGCTAGCATGGAGCACACATGGAGCAACACTACCCAGTAAACCTGCTCGTTGAAGTATAATGGTCGATAATTAGGAGTTTGTTGTGCTTGCACATTGCGTTTCAAAGAACAAGGATGAAGATGTTAACATGAAATGAAAGTCTCTGGCAAAATAAGTCCTAACACATACTCTCGGTTTCTCTTTTTTTTTTAATGTAAAAGTGAAACCAGAAGCAAAATCCCTGAACAAACCCTGCTTTCACATGTATGAAATTAGAATTTAGAAGCATGAGTTGGCATTTAAAATACACAAAATAAAAGCCAAGAATTCGCATTTTCTATGTTTTTTCGAAATGGGAGCGATAAAAAGTTCACATAGATAAAGAAAAGAAGCTCATGTCCATCAGTTTCAAATGGAGCCACTAAAATAGTCTGTATAATATATGTGCTACAAGAAGTGAATATTACATAACACTATAACAGAGTATTATCTTTGAAAATGCCAGCTGAAAAAAGAGCCCAATTTTGTGCAATTTATGTAAATGATAAAGCATCATATCCACAGAGACTTACAAATTGGAACCTAAATCAAAACATGACAAGATACTGGCAATATATGGAGCAAGAACAAATGGCAGGCCATATAAAATATCTTTGCTGTTAGGCCATTGAGATTATCAGCTTTCATCATTCAATTTCAAATGTTGATGCATATTCTAAAAATTCCTCATCAGCCGATGCATAAAAAGCGAGTCTTGAAACAATACCCGAATCAAAATCAAGGGATTAAAAAAAGAAAGGGAAAACAGGGCATAAAAAAAAAAAACTCACAAACTTCAAGATCACTGCTGTAAAATTCATCATTCTTGCCCAGGCAGGAGAAAAGCCCGGTTTCCCATTCGGACCTCTGCGCCGCCGGATCAGCCACCGGCATCCCGTTGGCCGGCCATCCAATCGACACCCCGGGCGGCGGAGCTCCTTCGCCCTTCCCGGCGGAGGAAAATTTCGCGTCAGGCTTCGTCTCAGCTTCTTGCTCCTGATTTGGTACGCGCTCGTAATTCGCCATATTTTACAGAAAATTGAAGCAAGCAAAAGAGGAATAAATAGATAATGGAGATATAAACGAAAAATCGAGAAATGGGTTTTCCCGAATCTTGAAATTTGTTTGATCCTTTTCGTGTTTATCAGTGGGATTTCTTGAATTTGTTCATTGACGTCGGTTGGACGAAGAAAGTCTTGTGGGCGGCCGTAGAATTAGGGAATGNACATGCGTTGCTTACTTGTTTTTTTTCTAATGATGTGCGACTATTAATAAAATATTATATATCACATAAGAAATAAATTTAGTCTAGTAAAAAAATATCTTTCAATGCAATTAAAAGTGGACATGGTCTAAATTATGCGGCAATAAAAAAAAGAGACCAGGTACACACTTGGGTCTATTTTGGAACCAAGTACAAACCCAACACTCATAATTTATTCCTAATTTAAATTTTCTTTTAATAAAAGAAACATATTATAGCATTTTTATTAGTTGGCATGTATGTTAGACCTATTATTTTATTTTTGCATTGAATAACTTTTGAGTTTTTTTACTTGGGTTTGTCCATGTCATTTAGGACTTAAGTCTATTTATATGTCACATATGTAAAATTAGACTAAATGCATTGTGGGTGCTCTATTAGAACACCAGTGTATTTAAACTTTAAATATTTTTTTGCAAAAAATAAATTATTATTATATATTTTATAATGACACTTGTGACTTGTGCGACTTACATGTGTTATATTATAATGATTTTTCTAACTTATACCATATAACTATTTTAAAAATAAATATATTAATTGATAAATAATTTTATTTTTTAATTAATATTAATAAACATTTTTATTATTATCATAAAATCATTACAGTATAATTTAGTTATATTATATATACAATATGGATGTCAAATCGAAACTCATCAAGATAATGTTAATTGAATATATTATGTATGTGAAACTGATAAAAAATACAAAACATATTAATTTTTAAAATAGATTTACAATGTTATAATAGGAAATGATGTTAAATATAATTACTACATATAAAAAAAACCATAAAATTAATAACCAACATATTTATGGATAATCCGAACTTAGTTATTGTTGTAGCAAATTATTTTATTTTTTTACCGAGTATCGAATCAAAAGATTCGTTCCCCGGGTCGATCTCTCGAGGAAGACGGTTCGGAATTTAGCGTTGGTCTTGATCGAGTCTAAACTCGGAGCGTGTGAGTTCGCGAAACAAAAGATTCGTTCCCCGGGTCGATCTATCGAGGAAGACGGTTCGGAATTTAGCGTTGGTCTTGATCACACACAAAAAGAAAATAAGTCTTAAACACTCTAATCACGATTAATTTGGGAAATTAACTAAACAAGCTAGAACTAGAAAAGCAATTTAAATAAATAACAATTAAATTTTTAGAGAAAAAAAGAAAAAGTTCTAGGGGTCGGGAAATCTCATCAAGTCTTAAACTATGTTGAACGCTTATTTGTTCGGTTACGAGATTTAACAAGCCTACACGTCTAGAGGGCTATGCTCAATAACTCTTCATAACAGAGCACAAACATAAACGATAAACTCATTTAAACAAGCAACACATAGACAATACTTTTACGAACATCTATACGAGCCTAAATCGACCGACGTCTCCCCTCTCGGTTCTAAGCGTCGATTAACTAGGTTAGAATGGTCATCAATCAACTAACCCTATAACTCACACAATTCGTATAGATTGAACAAAACACATTCCTCATAATTCAAAACAAGAATCAAAACCCCTAACCCTAGGTGAATGGATTACCTCATGCTTAGATTCAATTTCATGTTAAACGGAATTAAGAACATAAAACCAATCAACAATAATAAAATAGAATTGAAAAACTTACAATCGGATTAAGAGTTGCAAGATTTCCATCCAAATATCTTTGTGTCCAACAATCCAAGCATGAGAGAAAAAAAAAAAGCGGAGAAATTTATCCTAACAATATTGAGTTTTTGGAGAGAAAAATTGAAAGGAACGATATTGTGGATTGTTACTTAGGTCTGGGGGGTCGTTTTTATATATAGAGCTCGAAAAACGGAGCTAAAACGAGTAAAAACGGAAAAAAATAAAAACAGGGTCGAACAGGTCGCGACTCGCAAGTCGCGAGTCTGACGGGTTTTGGGGTCGCGCAGTTGGTCGGAGGCTCTGTTAAAGTCGCGAGTCGCGACTTTGGACTATACTGCGCCATTTTACGTTTCGGGCTCGTTTGGACTAGTCCGAACTCGGAATGGAGTTTCGTTTTTTGCTACGCGTCGCTAACGAACCCATCTATCCAATTATGCTCTCGAAACCAACTTTTCCTGAAGAGAAAATTCGCCCGAAGCTCCTGACCTACACACCAAAAACGACAAAACACAAAGAAAACCGGGAAAACAAACGAAAAACACATAAAGACTCAAAATGAAGGAAAACACATAATAAAATATGAAACGAACTAAAAAGGAAAGAAACGACCTAAAACGGGGGAAAAAGAAAAGCAAAACGAGCATGAAAAATGCAACAAATATGGGACAAACAATTATTTTTAGATTGTAATTAAATTAAAATCTACCCAAACCATGGAATTTCGCCACATAGGATCTCGAAGCATGCGAGTCTGCCACTTTGATAGAGCACATTCGAGAATTATATATAAGGGGTAGAGCTGTAAACGAACCGAACCGAACCGAGTTCAGTTCGGCTGTTCGAGCTCGTGTTCGTTTATGTTCAAACCGTGTTCGTGTTCATACGTTTATTTTTTGAGCAAAAAATCGTTCGAGTTCGTTCGTCAAAGTTCGAGTTCGTTCGTGTTCGAATAATTTAATACATAAACTTTTTAAATATGTTTGATTAACTCAAAATTTGTTCGTTCGAACCTGAAAATAAAAGAATAAAATAAAAATATTCTTATATTTTTAGTTTTTTATTAAAAATATTATGTAAATATATAAAAAAGATATAAAATTATATTAAATTTTAGAATTTTTATTAAAAATATTATGTAAATATATAAAAAAATAAAATAAAATTATATTAAATTAATGTTCGCGAACATAAACGAACGTTCATGAACGAGCTCGTGTTCGTTCAATTATTAAACGAGCCTAATTTTCTGTTCGAACTCGGCTCGATTAACAAACGAACGAGCTTTTTTCGAACACGAACGAACTCGAACGAGCTTTTGTTCGCGAACGTTCGATTCGTTTACAGCTCTAATACGGGGATTACTGATTAGAATTATAGCATGGATATAAATATAATGTGTAACTGACTCAAAACAAAATATATAATAATATCATGTATTGGACTTTACAATATAAAGCATATCTCTATAGATGTGAAAGTAGTTGTCCTCCCAATACATAGTGAATGTCTAGAATCCATATTATACAAGAAGACGGTGCTTGTGATGATTCGAATTGCAAGGTGATATCAGTTCGATTTAGTCCGGTCCCGCCCATATATCATCCAAAATCTCAAAAATAAGGATGAAAGTGGTCATCATCGGATCATTCTCCTCAAAATCTTCCTCCTTCGTAAAAATAAGGGTGAAAGTGCTAATTTATGATACTTCGTAATTCTTGTATTGATTTTCGTAAGCCTAGTGCTTAATAATAATTTATATATGTCTAAACTCTTACTCATTCATATATGATTAATAAATTATAAAACACTTGATTATTTGAAATATTAAATATATTTTACAATTATTAATATTTTGATATATATGGTGCTAAATTTCATACGTGATATATCGAATTAATTACCTTTAATACTCCGCAATTTTGTATGCTGGATATAGTTTAAAATATATCATTAAACAAGCTTGTTTNCGATGACGTATTTTGTTAGTTGAAATCATTTTTAGATATATAATTAGTGATTATTCTTAAAAAAGTATTTACAATTAGAAAAATATAGAGAGAATCAAAGAAAGAAAAGCCACAATCCTTAACATGCACATTTTGCTTGAAGTAAAGACAAAACAACAAGCTGTTTAAATTGATTACAAATTACAATACTCTGTATATTTAAAGAAAATAGATGTATGCTTTAGATACCAAATTAAATGACACATGAAATATAGCCTTCTACAATATATCCCAATCTCCTGCAATAGTTCATTTGTTTTAATTCGTTGGTGACGTCACACATACAGAATCACATGACTCACATTATATTGTACACCCAACATTTACATCAACGTATTAAAAAAACCAATGAAAAATTATTTAAAATTATAAAATTAACAGAACCCATTCCGCGTTTGATCAGCTCACAATTTTCTTTCCCTGAAAAAAAAAATTAAAAAATATTGCACACAAAGTGGCAAATTGTAACAAAAATTAAAAATACTAATAATTTAGCAAGTTTTAATGGGCTATAAATAGGCAAAATTGTAAAATATGTACAGTAACTTAAGATAGATAACAAATTGGCCTATAACTTTTGCAATTTCAAAAAAATATCCACTAATTACGAAAATGGCAAAATATACTAACCAATTTATATATTTGGTCAAAATATTCACAATTTGATGATTAGTTAGTCTATATTTTCAGCAGTCGCAAAAGTTGTCGTTAAAAATTATCATATGCTCCATGCTCTACTAGACTCATTTGCAATTTTTTTTTAGTATATATATTTAACTTACCGATCTTTTGGACTTCCGATGGGCCTTGCTGGCCCGGTGGTAGATCCTGGGCCGCTGGCCGGCCCGATCCGGTGGCGGTATATATGTATGTGTCTCTGGCCCTCTATAGTCAATATCATAAACTTCAGAATCCATATTCTTCACATGCAAAGTCCCTGCAAGAAAAAAAAAAAAATCACATTCAAACCAAGATTAATCAAGAAAAGAAAACAATAAATTAAAAATATTAAAACTGACCTCTGGAAAATCCCGGCCCGATTAAGATGAGAAAGAGAAGCATGGTACTCACTAAACTTGCCTTCATTGCCAAAACAAAAAAGTTCAAAAATCAGAAAGTTGTCCTTTT